GTGTCATGCCAGACTACTTCTAAATTGTAGCTGTTATGAAATGAGCGGTACAGTTGCCAAGAGTAAAGCAGAAGCAAACTGAAATTTGGGTTCCTTATCCACTGTCTCTACAGGCTTCTTCCATCGAGACTTAAAGCCTGAGAACCTCCTCTGCATGGGACCAGAACTTGTGAAAATTGCAGACTTCGGATTGGCCCGAGAAATCCGATCAAGACCTCCATACACAGACTATGTATCTACCAGATGGTGAGTACTGTTTTTCTCAAAATTATTTAATTGTACTTTTAAAAGATACCATTATACTGAGGATGATATTAAAGTCACAAACATTAACTTTTCACTAAAAGGAGCAGTGCAGTCTGAAACACATATTTGTAGGTATGTTGGCATTGTACAAGGTTAAAAGCTTATGTTAAAAATAATTTTAAAAGGAAACCCATTATGATTTTCCATAATATAAATAAGATGTTATATATAGGCCTTCCTGAGGACAATTTCCCAAAGGAGTTATGTAAATAATTCTCCAAAGACCTGTCTGAAAAATCATCTAATTGCTATTGATAGTACTTTAAGACCCTGGGAATCTGATTTAAGCAATTTGCCCTGACAAAAAAGTAGCCTACACACAAGTTTTATGTTCTCACTCTCTCCCTATCTCTCTCTTCTCTCTCTTTCTCTCTCTCTCTGTCTTTCTCTCAGTCTCTCTGTTTCTGAAAGATGCTGAGAAGACTCCTGTAGAGAAATGCTCAGTAGAAAATGCTGTGAAATAGAGAAGCACTACTTTTCAACAGCAGTCATGGCAGTTCCAAGTCCTCACAGGTCCACGTACCACACTAAGCTAGAGACAATATTGAAATATATAATCTTTCTCACTGAGAATTGATTGTTATTTCATTTAATTTCTGACCAGTGGAAGCAATAGTAGCAGTGAACCTTTGTCCCTGCAGGTATAGGGCTCCAGAAGTGCTCCTGAGGTCCACCAACTACAGCTCCCCCATTGATGTCTGGGCCGTGGGCTGCATCATGGCAGAGGTGTATACTCTCAGGCCGCTCTTTCCTGGGGCCAGCGAAATTGACACGATATTCAAAATTTGCCAAGTGTTGGGGACACCGAAAAAGGTAATGATATGGAACAAAGGCCTGTGGGCCCAAGCCTGTGGCTTTTCCTCTCCTCTAACCCTGTGCAGCACTGGCACTGTTGAGCACCTGCCCATTCTAGAATCTTTCTCCGGGCCTTGGTCATTCTGTACTGCCCATGTTCTCAGACATGGCTGGCTTCTCTTCCTCCTTCTCGGCTTAAGTATGATATCTGTCGTGGCTCCCTCTGCTTTTCTGTCTGCATCATCTCACCTGCCTTGTGGAGCTTCTCCAGTCTCATGGCTACAACTCTTATGTCTATTCCGAAGTCTCCTAAATGTAATCTGTAGCCCTCCCCTTGCTCCTTTACAATGCCATTCACATATTTACAATTATTATGGGATTTTCTCCTGACTCCCTCACCGTCACCCCAAACTCAACATGTCTGGAACAGATTGCTTTTTGGTTACCACCAACCCAGCTGCTTTCACCCCCCATTTCTGTCTGTGGTCCTGTCATAATCCCAGAGCCCCAGCCTTAAGGCTGAGTTTCAGCCCTTATCTTGTCTTTTTCTCTTACTTCCCTTTCCCTTTATTCAAGCAGCTGGTCAGTGAATCCTGTTGAATATCACTGCTTAATATCTCTCACGTGGCTCTTGTCCTTTCCAGTTGACTGCTGCCATCACAGACTGGACCATGATCACCCTGCCTGTATCTGGGGGCATCTTCTCAATCTTTTTGCCTTGAAGTCTTTTCCCTCTTGCTAATCTTTTAGGCTTTAGCCAGATTCATCTTTCTAAGGAACAGCTCTGGTAGTATCCTCCCCTCCTACATATATTCATTGACTCCCCATTGCCCAATCCCCTTAACTCACATTCCTAACCCCATTTGATACCTGCACACATCCTAGCTGTGCCCTGGAATCTCCCTGCTTCTGTGCTCTGAACATACACCCTCTGCCTGAGTGAATGTCTCTCATGTGGCTAAATCTCACTCTTCTTTCAGGGCCCTCAGTAATCTCCTTTCTTCAGCTGTCTCCTATGTTATTGATGTAATTATCTGTGTACATATCTGCTTCCTGGACCATAAGCTCATTCAGGGCAAATATTTGTCTTGCATTTATTTTTCCAGGTCCCAGCACCATTGCTGGTACAAAGTAGACCCTCAACAATTTTTTTTAATCATTTGAATCATTAATGCCACCTCTTCAGCAAAGTTTCTTGGGTTCCCTGCTAGAATCTCTCCCTCCTATGCATATCTGTATCTGTACCTCTCTTGTGGTCTTTATCACTTTTTACTCTGTATTATTGTGTTTTTTAATAAATGTCCTATTTTCTATTTTAAGGACAATAATATCCTTAAGGGCAGGATTTGCATTAGATTATTTTTGGATATCCAACAACACTAAGCATATAGTAGGCACTCAAGAACTGTTTAAGTGATGAATGATATAAGCTATACATAGTGCCACTGGCTTTAAAAAAAAA